GAGCGTTCCAATGACAATAAGGCTGTGACGGCTGCTGTCTCCTGCGCGCCCATGCACTTAGGTAGCGGGAGCCTGTGTTGTGCGCTTGAGCCTTGCCTCCCGCGATGCTCTGCGATGCTTGGTGCAGTGCTCTGTGGCACACTTTCATCCGAGCATTGGATTACTATGGCCACTGCGCAACAAACGTTCGTCGGGTGAGGGGTGCCCGATAAGCGCTTAAGCCTTGCATAATTGGAGGCTTTATTGGCATTGATTGGTGAGATGGCCGACAGTTTGGCTGGGGGAGATATGGCGTGTTTAAGAGCAAAAGAGAAGCCGCGTTTCAATCTCGTGGAAGGACTCCCGAGTAGCTATGAATCAAACTGCTAGTGGGTACCTGCTGAACATCTTTAGTCTGGTGGACCTCATGAGACAAACCTCTTCCTCTCTTGTGAGAATAGAGGTCCAAAAATATATGTAATACTTTTCACAGATATAGCACTTAGAGCTGAACTTTTTTTCCTGGGAAGAAGTGATGCTGTTTGCAAAAAAAAAATTACATATATTTTTGGACCTTCATTTGCCGAAAGATAAGCCTAAATGTAGAGCATTTACCTTGCAGGTAGTCCAGCGTCCCAAAGTGAGGCGCGGGAATTAAATGCCTATTCCGACGTGGCCTATTGCTCTGCCCATTCACTTCAATGCACACAGTTTAGTCTTTTTTTTTTTGTTCCTGTATTTAAAGTGCTACCAACGTAGGGTAATGTACACCTGTCTACTAGCATCCGTAGAGGCACGGGAGTCCATGGCTCCAATAAATAGTAGACAATACGAAGAAAGGAAAATGTCTCAGTGCTTACTGTGTGACAGTGAGCGTGGCCATATCTCAATATATGCACACAGTCTAGTCACTACGTAAAGCTATTATATGCTAATATACCCCGCAACACTTTAATATTAGTTTTGAATCTTTGTCTCTAAGATTATAGCTCTACAGTAATCCTCTTCAACCACTTTGGCCAGCCAGACACGTGGTGCAATAAGATACTGACGTGATGCAGGCATGGTTACTGAGATCTGGCTTGCGCTCATCTAGCATCCAGCCGTCCACCGACTTTCGGCACAACTTCTACCTGCACCATTCTCATACAATGTCGAGTAAGACACAAACATTCAATCCTGGTACCAATGCGCGTGCACCGTCTCCATTTGACGGAAAGAAACCCACAGACATCATTATATCGACCTTTGATCACGTCAACTTCTATCTTGTCAAAGTGATTCTGATCATAGCATCGCCTTTTTTTAAGGACATGTTCTCCCTCGCTCAGCCCCCGAAGGAGGTGTCTACAGAACTGGACCACATTGATGTCTCTGAAGACTGCATCACCTTTGAAACCCTCATGCGCCTTTGCTATCCTGTCAGTCAGCCGAAGATAACTGACTGGACACTTCTGGAGAAAGTATTGGAAGCAGCTATGAAATATCAGATGGAGGTTGCCGCTGATCTGCTCAAAGTTACACTCCGCGACTTCATAACCCAGAAGCTGCTGCAGAGCTTTGCAGTGGCTTGTCGACTGCAGCTTGAAGAGGAAGCAGTATTGGCGGCCAAGACATGGAAGACCTGGACAAAGTCCCTCACGGATAAGTCTGACACTTTCACGTCCACCTTCGCTGGTGGTACCTATATCCCCGAGATGTCCACCATGTCCTCTGCAACCTATTTCTGACTCTTGCAATATCTCCGTGGCGCAGAGCTCACTAAATTCACAATCCCTCCTATGCGGACCTTCCCACATCTCTTGTTGCGGAAACCGCGATCTGCTTGTGTGACTTTGGATGCAGACTGTGTCCTCTGCTCTATCGATGGCGAAGCTTTCCCGGTGCACTCTGTGGTGCTTCAAGTCAGGTACGCTGAGAAACTCCTCGAGAGAAGTACCACAGGTGGCACAAGTGATGGAGAGAAGCAAGAAATACCTGTTGGTTTGGATAGCAATATTCTGCAGGCCGTACTAAACTTTTGCTACCCGATGCGATATTTCACCTCGCAGGACCTGTGCGAACTCGTTAGAGTATCCGATGGCACAAGGAGGCTCGGGACGCAGCAGGTGGCGGCCGCAGCCAGGCAGCAGATGATGAAGAGTGCTGAGACAGAACTGCTGTCTGTCTACCTGCTAGCTGGGCTCAACAAATGGGTGGAGGAAGCAAAGGAGACAGCGATGCATGCAGTCCTGTAAGGCGTACACGACGCCTATGTGCCCGAGATGGAAGAAGCACCTGCATCAGTATACCAGGCTCTCCTGGAGTTCCAGCACCTGTCACGCAGCACAGTTGCAGCAATTGTCTCTACACATGTGCCCAATGCTTTGACTTGGCAGACAGTCTTAGCCAACTGTCTCGAGGTCTTACCAGTCTCACTGCCTCTCTCATTTGTGGAGAAGATGCTTCAGGAGTCAGATCGTGGATCACAGGAGTATTGTTATTCTTGCCACATGAATCACCCCTATGGATTTGACAGTGAGTGCCCTCATAACGCAGGAGTAATCAGCAAGGTTTCAACCATGCCGGATGCAAACATAGCTATGGAAAAAGATATAAAGGACGCATTGGCTAAAGTAAGTAGCAAGCACACAGTAATGACGAGGCTTGTTTACAAAGAACTTCACCAGCTCCCACTGAATCTTCAAGCTCAGGCAAGGTCACAAAATACTGCCTCTGCACATGCGCGTGACTGGAAAAAGGGCAATAAAGGTTGCCGCTGAGTGTTGCTACATCACATTATCTGAGATATTAGCTAGCTTTTTGGTAGTGGCCGGGTCGTGCTTGGGTTTATGATTCAAGCGTACTACCAGCTACCGTTTACTTACATGACCGTCAGCAGATGCACAAGTTCCAAGAGTGACAGTACGAACTAGTGATTCATGTATGAAAGTCAAATTCAGCAGTACCCCTCACAGCTCCCACTCCTGATTTGCTCTGGACATCGACCCTCCTTGGCTGCATTGCCCTCTCCATGATGCCTACCTCATTCATGCTCAGCCCGTGTTGACGTTGAGTGAGCGGTCAAAGTAGGCATCAATGTGACCTGTAGTGGTCTGAAGCTGGCGAAGGACACCGAGGCTGCTTTACAAGTGCAGAATGGCTTTTGGTTTGTATATATTCTGTAAGCATCTTGTCTTCAATATAGCATATGTCCATCATGTTCCAAGGGAGTTTGTAGGCACCCGGACATAGATTTATAATACCGATACTGACTTTGGCATAAATGTACTATGCATACACCGTAAATGTACACGTAGACTGTCCATAATATACTACATGTCCCCTTCTCCTAAGTCAAGGTGGGTGTGGTCCAATTGATCCAATTTGACTGCATCCACTGCGCTCCGCCAAATTGATTGTTGGTCAAGAACACGCTCGTATTGACGTTCTGGTCGAGCAGAAACTTGTTGAAGAACGCGTTGAGGTTCGGCATGAGCGAAGACAGCCATGCGCAGTGTGCATGCCCACCGATTTGCGCGAAACTATAATTGTCCGAGACGCCAAGTGCAGAAAAAATCGTGTGGGTGGCGGTGACACAACCCCAGGCACTCATGGGCAAGAGCCAGTTGTAGTCCGTGTTTTCAAACGAGACCAGAGCGCGCGGCGCGACAAGGCCCATAAGCATGTGGTAGTCATATGAGAGCACGGGCAGGTTGTTCACGTAGTTGGCGAAGTTCGTGCTGAACCAGATGTTCTCTGTCACGATCTCTGTTGCTGTCTGCACATTGTTTCCCGTGTCACTCTCATACTTGCTCAGCCACCAACACGTGTCCCCACCAGAGCCTGACTCCTGCAGGATGGTAAGCGCAATACACAGTTTCAGCACACCCGCCATCAGTGTGCTCTTGCCATCGTGCGAGCAGCCCGTAACCGCGAGGCACTGCGTGTTGATTTGGGCAGACGGGGTCTGTTTGAGCGCGTCAATGATGCGGCTGACATCTCAGGCCCAGGCGGTCATAGCGCTGGTGGTGGCACTGGAATTGTAGAGGTTGTAGAAGAGACCTTTGCCTCTGCTTGTGGTGTCTGTTTGCTGGGCCATGTCGCTGTTTGAGTAGGTCAAGGTGGCAGTCTGTGACAGACGTCAGTAATGAACTCAGCAGCGTGAAGATAGACAAATGTACTCTGCAGGAATGGGAATACTACTGCCTTCGAAAGCAATGACCAGCGGCCAGCCATTGGCCAGGAGAGTGCCACTCAGGAAGGAAATGGTCAGTGCGAAGCTGATAGACTGCCCGGCGTTGGTGACAGTGATACTGAGTGTGCCAGTGGAGCCGCTCTTTGAGAACGGCGCGCTAATAGACTGAGGCGGACTCCGAAGGGCACCGGCCTCATAGCCCTGGATGAGTGCGCTGATCTGCTGCTGGCGGCAGGTGAAGTCATCCTTTGTCTGCATGGGTGTGCCATCGTTGAAGATGAAGGGGTTCAGAAGCTCCACATTATTGAAGCCAGAGATAGTAGAGGCGACAGAGCACATCATAGAACTGGTGCCTGTGGGTCCAGTGGACAGAGCAGATGATGTGAGGGACAAGACCGTTGTCGAAGGTGGAGGTGGCACAACAGTGGTCGCAGTGCCTGGCAAACATTGCGAGTAGTAGGGGTTCAAGACTGTGCAGACTGTTCCGGAAATACAGGTTGTCGCCCTGGCTGATTTTGAATATTAAGATAGGCCTCCAAGCAAACAACATTTGATGCTTACCCCACCCAATACCGCCACACTGTCTCCACTCCTGGGCCTGAGCATTGACGTATGCGGGAAGGACAGCTATAAGAGTAGCAAGGTAGGTGGCGGATTTCATGTTAGTGAGATTGTCGAAGGGATACTAAGTCCTACAAAAGCAGCTGAGTAGCAGGAGATTATTTTATATATCACCCCGACAGATATTTTTGAAACTGTCAAGCAAATGGTGATGGCTTGGAGACATGAAATTCCGATGTAGACTCATTTCCATTGGCTATATGGATAGACATCAGCAGGCATTGGAGAAATTGTACGTTGAATGTCGCAAACGACAATAGAGCCAAGCGAGACAACGTTAGTCAGGACTGCTGTCGTAATGGTTACTTCATGGAGTCAGACTGCTGGCCTTCGCAGTACCACCATATACCTACACTACAAGTTCAGAGAATGGGTTACTTGCTCATGAGAAAATTTGCCTCAAAAAGCAGCTCACCACAACCAGGTCGACACTGAGTCACGGGTTCTTCTAATGTTTTACAGCATTATGGCTAGCAGGTGACAGGCACCAGCCTTCGCCCTTGTTCAAAGCTTGCCATTTAACGGTCCGCCGTAGATGATCTTCAATTATGTGGCTTGAATTTGTCTCAAGTACTGGCAACTCCAAAGAAGACAGTGTCAGTGGGCGACCACATGGCATCGATACCTCTGGCACCTTCTTGCCAAGACACCGAGAATTCTCAGTGTCGCAAGGTACAAACCCCGCCCTGCCTGGGTCACTATGATGTTCAAAATTGCACTAGCCGTTCTCTGCAGCGGTTGCTGCTGCCCGTGACAGGCCTCTGCATGCTTCAAGTTGCTCCGAGAGCGACCGATTCAGGCGCATGTCAGGCGCTCCGACCCTTTGCCTAATATTATGTAATACTGCTGCCAATCCTGCTGAATTTGAAAGTCTAGTGCGTTGTTCTCAGATGTCAAACACTGGTTGACCAGTGAGCCCAGTAAATGGCATGCCTGGACGGTCCTCTCGTTACACAGATCTATCCAATTCCGAACATTGGCGGTTGACAAACCAGATGCAGTTGCCGGCAAGTGACTATACATGCCGCATCAGCAACTTTCCTTAGTCTCCCTCATCTTACCTCAAGAGCTCACTATTCTGAAGCTACATGAGGTTGCGCCTCTGTAGCATGTTTGAGCATACAAGCTCGCACATTAGTTTGAGCCTTAATTTCTGCACCCATGCAACTGCTCACGAGGTACAACAAATGTGTTCTATCACGCCAGGTTACCCACTGGGCTTTGCTCTACAGCCAGTCAGCTGTTTGCCCTACTCCATCCATTGTCATCTCCCCCCTATCGTGGCTTCGCATCATCAAGTCATCTGGTCAATGGGCACCCGTCTTCTTACAACAGGAGCTCAAAGTTGCCGATAGCAGCTGGAATATTGAGCACCTTACAAGCTAATTTCTTTCCTCTACTAGTTTTGGTAACTGGACAGTGGAACATTGCCTTAAAGCTACTGGTAGAGTAGAGGGGCAAGAGATGACTGTCTCGCGCATGAAGTGCGTCCTCTCTTGTGTGTCTTTCAGCTCGAAGCTGAGTGTATACATACTTTGCGGACAGGGGGAAAGCCGTTGAGCTCGCCACCAACTGCTATGGGTTTCATGTCTACTAGAATGTGTTTGACTATGAGGAGGATATTCTAAAAACTCTTCGCAGTGAGTTTCTCACATGCAGGGCCCGGCTTCGACTGTTGGGCATGCTTGAGGCTAGCAGAACAGACGCTCAGTCTGTAGCTCAGAAGAAGGGAAGTCTCTATGATGTATTTACCTAGCAGAACGGATGCTCAGTCCGTACTGCAATACAGTCAGTACCCTACAGTGTTCATAATGAGAGGATATACGCACACTCAGAAGAAGGGAAGTCTCTGAGCATGCACAACAGGGAAAAGCGAGTAAATAAGGAAAGCGGCAGGTGCCTTAGCAACTGGTGAGTCAGGAACGAAATAACAAACACGCTATCTAATAAAATACTGTCCAATAGGAATCTGAGTCATCCCGAGACATGTGCGTGCGAGCGCACGAGCCCAAAATCCAACAGATATCAGGTGGCTCATTGTTTCCGAGTTGCTCCTTAGTGGTCCCTCGCAAACTTTGGCCAACAGACATGCTTCTCATTTCTCAAGCAACATACTTTTTGTGAGCATGAATTCAGATCACAATTCAGCTGGACCATGACGCTGCCATCGGCTTCACTCACTCCATCCTCTAGATCGATCTGCTCTGTGCTTCGTATCAGCTGGCACGAAGTCCAGTGCTAACAAGTTTCCAAACAACAGGTGAGCTCCCGCTTACTTGCCATGAGACCAGGCTGCTGATCGTTCAGCTATGATCCCAACTAGTACATGTATCTTGGACAAGGCTATAACCTGCTGTGGCTGCAGCACACACTTGAAAACTTTGGAAACTCTGCACCTACTGTGCCCAGCATAGTATGCCCTATCCTCTCTTACCAGCTTTAGAGACTGATCTGGAGGTGTGCGCAATCTTTGAGATGCTGTCTATTCAGATATTGTTTATGCGCTTCCAGTGGTTGGCAGGCAGTGATTGTTGACCTCGCTTTGTCGGCCACCGAGAGCTAGCTGATTGCGAGCATCTTGCCTAACATGCGTACACTGAACTGTGGTTCAATGCAACGTGCTAACACTTTCACAGGCAGACAAAGATCAGCGCACCTTGCTCTATGACTCTATCTACAGGGTATATCATGATCCTTCACAGATGCAAAACCAGGTCTTCAGTCATCTGGCTGTTGCATGTCGACACTTGTTACAGTTCTTGGCTGTTGGTCACTGACAGGTTGTCGGCCTCAGGCAGCAATTGTATGCATGCCTATTATGGCTATTTATTGTTTTAGACCATCTCTCATTGACCCTGCATATTTCAATCAGCATATCTTACAGCATCCTATACCGGCAGCTCGTCCAATGCCAAAATGTTCACCTTGTGTATTAGCAGGCCAGTCGGCATCCTAGTATCTCTTCACTGATACCAATGGGCCACTATACACCCTTTGTCAAGCGTTCGCTTTGAGATTGCGCAGAGGGGCACTCTAGATGATCGCACGGGTGGCAGAGTCATTGGTGAAATGATGCCATAGATACTATAATGATATGCACATAAGAGATTAACGTCGAAATTACTATGAGTTGTCTGTGTCATTGTTGTAAGTTTGATGGGCACAGTCAACAACAGCATGGCAAGAAGGACATGCTTTTCTTTTGTACCGTGGAGGCAGGTCTTTGTACTGCCCAACCCTACCGATCATCTGCACATTCACACAGATACCGAACAGCGGTGTGCCGCCATTTGGAACATGACTAACATCGCAGGAATGAGTGAAAAGGAGGCATGTAGTGACAAGGATTAAAACACACATCACAAAAGGTATTCCTTCCATGCAATTGCCCCATGCGAATCCTCCCGGTGCTGATTTGAGCCCCCTCCCTTGGCAAGTACCCTGAAGCTGTTGATGTTGTCTTGAAGTACTTTGCTTCTCTGACATTGAGTGATATTCTGGTATGAGAACTGCTCTATCTCTGCAGAGGGGAGGGGGGAGCTGAGATTGAACAAGCATGACTTTCATCAAATTGCGTACACGGAATGCCATCTTCTATGTTGCCGTACACGACGCAGGCCTTTGATGGGGCATAAGAAACATTTGCTTGTTGTGGCTGGAAGAAGGTTCGTCATGAGACCTAGCACAATCTCGTAAACACAATGGCCAGCTTTTGGTGAAACTCGCTGTAGCTGGGATGGTTGTGCACAGCGGACTCCACAGTTGGGACCAAATAACCTGCAGTACAGTGACAACCATGAATAAATGTAATAAACCAGTAAAAGCAGGGCGTACCCAAACTGCTATAATAGTCTGTCAGAATAGCCTTCTTCCCCACTACCTCCCAAACAGGCAAAGTAAACAGGGACCCATCTTCGCAGGTCCTATATGGTATACCGCACCTGCTATTCATCAAGTGAGCAAGTAGTACAAGTTAATGGCTACTTTTATTTAGCTCACATGCATGGCTTAATAATGGCCTCTACAACTTGCTGTATCCACTTATGGCGCTGGACATGGTCGGAGCTCTGTACAATTGCTTTCAGAGAGTTTGCAAGGATCTGGTTGATGTAGTTCTTGGCCTAGGTGGGATTCAAAGGATAAGCGTCATAGTTGTAGCAAAGCTAAGGCCTACAAACGTCTTCCCCATTCCAGCTAAAGACACGGGCAATGTCAACATCTTTGCCATTGGCAGTGAGCACAAACATCATGACTTGAAGTCCTGCTTCAAGAAAATTGAAAGGAATGTTTGATATTGGATAGATTGCTGGGGGTGGCGTCCTGCTAAGAAAGAGGTTAGTCATTTAATGCAAATCAACGGCGGAATTGCAATGAACGTACCGCGGCATTGCAAGTGGGATAGCTTAGGAGACGTTGAAGAATGACCACAAAAACTAGCTAGTCCTGTCCATGAGCAGCTTACAACGCTGGACTGGGCTCGATGGCCAACTTCTTGAACTTCAGAAGAGGTGCCGCAAATTGAGACTGACAAAGAGCCGGGATCTGAAGCAATCGGAAGTGTGGCTCCCATGCTACAGTCATCAATAGTCTCTCAGTCTAGAGTTGTTCCAAACTTTGACTTTAGAGCCATCGAGGATACAGCTGTTCGTCCAAGTCACTCCACTGCGGCGGTCACAATTGCGCTATTGCAGCAAGTTACTCAGCCATTTCGAGAGGTACCAAAGCATAGTTCACTTACCTTTAGTTCTCGCTTGGCACGTGTACATGGCTCAGAGCTTTGCATGAGTAGGTTTCGCCGAGGCTACTCGTGGCGCTGTCTACACACATTCGTGGCAGGATGACAATATTGGCGCGACTGCAGTACTAGCGCCTAGCCAAGCGCAGCTTCTTGAGCCTCTCACACATGTGTTGTACTACTTTGCACACTGTACCATAAACAATCAGAGCAGTAGGTGCAGATCAGTTGAACATTGTGGGTTAATAAGAGAGATCTTTCAAACCTGCAATAAATTATCTGGAATACACAGACGCTCGTAGGAGACCCGGAAACAGTCATCCTGCCACTGTCTGTCACATTGTAGCATTGACAGCACTTGAGTACTGTATCAAATAGCTGTGAGAGCCCTCCTAAATATATTTGAGCTGGAAGCTCTGTATGGTAGTTACAAAAATGATAACACCCTCCGACAAATTTTCAGAACTTGAAAACATTGCGGGCATTAGATAGAGACGCTGGGATACACTCGCAGCGAACCTTGTCGGATCTTGTCGGACTTTCAATTGAGCTCCACCATGAGCTTCAATATACTCCACATGTCTCTTCACCTGTTTGTTTTGTATCTACAATGTGACCTGCCTCAAGATATTGCATGCAGAGTACGCATGATTGTAAGCGGCTTAAACGGCTTAAGTGGTTTGTATCGCTTTACTGAGGGAGTTGCACAGGATACCCACCAAATGTCTCTTCGCATCTCCATCTTTCAGGAGCTTCCTGAAGATGTCCTATTCCTGTGCTTCTGCTACCTCACCATGCAGGATATCCTCAGTTTACACCAAGTACGTGTTCTAGCAAATATCATCAGTCTGGCCAAGTCTGAACCTACCCCAGAGATATGTAAGGCTTTCAAACAAGCGTCTCATTCAAAACAGCTCTGGTTGATTATACTAGAATACGATGTCGTCTCTGAAGGCCTCACCATTCCATATTACTGCCGCTCACTGGGTCTACTCTCGAGCGGCCAAACTGAGTCCCTCGCTCTCCACATCCTTCGACTCCGCCAAGCCTTACTCATGGATACAGAGGGTCGTCCGCCTGCTATGGTCACGTTCAACCAAACACACTCAGTGACTTGGGTCAGGCTGGTCCTGGGGCAGTGGGTTCTTGTCACATGTTCAAACCAGGTAACAAGCATTATCTGCCTCTGGTCACTCCAGCCGTTCTATCGCTCCAAGGGGCCTCCTGAAATTGTAGCCCAAGCTTCTCTTGAAGGACCTGTGGTGACTGGGCTGTTTAAGGTGCAGGACAATCAATCGATAATTGTTCTGGAGCTTCGAGCTGCATTGTGAGGCCATATGCTACTCTAATTTTTTCTTCATCTGACACTCCCTTCCTAGCCAAACTATCATTGAGATTCTATCTTTGCATATTTCAAACGATCAACGGCTGATTTTTGTCTGCCTTAAAAGGTTCAAGAATGATGTCTCGCACGTACGGTGCTTACGCAGGCCATCCATCGGCTTCTCTCTTCATCAGGAACGGAGTATAGCAAGTATTCTTGACTGGCGCACCCGTGAAGTGGTAAACCTCTGCAGGGCCCCTAGCAGCGACGTGAGTGTATTTGCAGCATTGATTGGCAAGGCTCTGATGTGCTGCAGGGCGGCACCATGGCAATAGCCATTGATAGTGGCCTAGTCGCTATTGTTACTGCCTGAAAGCTCGAGCTGTATAAATTGCACAAGCTCTCTGAAAGCTCTGCAACGTGTGAACATCTTTGTTCCATTTTGCTTGGCTGTTCTATCAGCTGGGCACAAGCAATGTTTACTTCATCGACTGCGTCTGAACAGTCAAAGCTCTGTGTATGCATTGATGGCCAGGACAGCCTCTTTGCATATACCAATACCACAGATTATCTTTGCTTGGCTTATTAAAGCAGCCCATACTATGAAACCAGTTGGTTTCGGTACTCTACCAGAGGGTCTGTCAGCTGAGAGACCTCACACATCAACTGAATATCAACTTGAACATCCTGCCTTACCAGCAATGTATGCTGCCGGTTTCTATGACTATGACGAGGCTCTTGGACTTGTGGTGTTCAGCAACACATGCAGCAAGCTCGCTATCTTCAACTTGAGCGCATTGTGTAATGCTTCACTTGAGGGGTGTTTCGAGGCCTTTCCTATACCTTACGATGATAGAAGGCATGAAGTTGAGGTCGTACCTGAAGTGAGCAGCTATTTTCTTCTGCATAAAGCCCCCTTCTGACACACGCACAGACAATGATTCCAGCTACGTTTGCGCCCCCATTCCCATACTTGGGACCTCTGATACCACCTCAGGAGTATGCTGACGCTCTCTGTGCACAATGGAAGGCAAGGCAGCCTGATCCAGTGCCCCAGCAATGGGAAGAACCTGATATTCCAGGGAACGACAAGGAAGTCCTCAGCTGGTTCAGGTGGAAAAACTTGATCCCTAAGATCCCTGACGGCATGATGGATATTGGTTAGCATATGGAGTACGCCTACCACTGCATAGGATCACTTGTGCTGCTTATGAAGGATGATCGGTATTTGCTGTTCACCACGGGCAATCTTCTGCTCGTGTGGGAATACGACGCACACACCCTGGAGGTAGTCTCACCTAGTGTTGCCGCGGATGAGCCACGAGTTGGACAGGTCCAAAATCCGGCATTATCCGCACATGGCGGATAACGATGAGTTGGCCACCAGATAATCCGGTGGGTTGTGGGAAAGCTGACAAAGACACTATATACGGTAGGCAACTGAACGCAGAGCGGATGGGGACTGGAGAGGCTCAAGTGAAGACGGCGTAACAGATGTATTAGGAAACTATTAGGACTCAGTCTCATTAATTAGCCTCTCTAGCTTGTCCACATGGCTGTCTGCAACCATTTTATCTATCTGTTCTACTGAGACTGCTGGTGCCAGATTGCCCTCGAAAGCTAGCCTGCCACGTGAAAAATTTAGCTTCTCACCGCGCTGCTGCAGATACAGATGCTTCAGAATTTGAAGCCTTTCCGTCACTTCGGGGGACATATTAGTCCTTTGGAGAGTGTCCATCTCCTTGCTCAATGAGAAGACGCGCTCGCACGGGACAGCAGAAGCTTGTATGGGCAGGATATCTAGTGCAACGCGATAGATCAGAGGAAAGCGATATTGATTGATCTGTGACGTAGTGAGTAACAGTAAGATAATGTACTGCAGTGACGTACCTGCCAGGTGTGACAGATATCAAAGTCTGGCCCTGTTTCGGTGTCAGGGAGAACACCCTCCTTCTTGTACCGGGTTGCCTCTTCCTCAACGGCATGGGCATAATCTACCTCCAGAATGTGACTATCATCAACATCTGGTTTGATGGTGGCCGCCTCGGGCTGTGTACTGCTTCTTTGAGCTGTAGCCGGGGTGCTTACAGACTCATCAGAGAGTTTTCGAAGCAGTGCGCGGATGCGGCCTATACTGTGAGCCTGTGAGCGAGCTGTGAAACTCTGAGATGGTGGGGAGACAGGCCGTTGGGGGGCAGATTGGACTGTAGAGAATGAATCCCTCGCCGATATTCGAGCATCTATAAGTAATACACCCAGGAGTAAGTTTAATGTGCATGTGCAATGAGGGAATCTACACACCGCTTTCCGAAGCCAGCGCCGGGCATCTGCAGCTTTCTTGGCTGTCCAGTGCTCGTCTATCCAGGTAAATTTGAAGCCAGGGTGTAAAACTGAAAAAAAGGCTTAGTATGACAAATTTTCCATTAATAAAAAATATGGCGCTCACCCATTGCAAGAGCATATGCTTTACTTTTCCGTGCGATGCTCAGATATTTGTGCAGCCGGCCAATTGACGCATTTATTGCGTGCTCGAGAGTACGGAGCTTACTACGCAGAGCACGCAATGCCTCTAGTAAGCTCTCGTACATGGATATTGAGAGTGGGAGGGTTGGTGTCTTCTCATACGAGAGAAGCTGCTGGATGCAGTGAAATACATGTAGAAACCTACAGATATCATGGAGGACTCGCAGCTCCATCTCAATGAGGGCGCTTTTGCGAATATCATTCTGCTTCTGTGCATTTAAAAATGCTTTGACTGCCTGAATAAGTAATATCCAATTGGGAACAAAGGTGAGGTTTTGCATGATTGAAAGGAGAGAAATACGAACCTCATATAGCTCAAGAGCGTGATCAATCATCATAAACAGCGCTGACCAGCGCGTGTCCACATCTCGAAGGAGCTCTTTCAGCTTGGGGCCAGAGGTTGAAGAGTCCAATGACTCAGCTGCGACAGCAATCAATGCCCACTTTGCTGCCATTGAGAGAGCAATAGCCTGGCGAAGATCTCTGTGGTGCTGCCAAGATGCTCAGCAAACACGTACTAATGCATGGCAGCGAGTCACAGGATCCTTTTGCAAGGCAGACAGATATGCAGAATCAGCCTGAAGCGCTGCATTGGATGTAGCGTCCATAGCACCGTCATTGTCAAGATCATCGTCACTGTCGTAGTCACTATCGTTGTCATGACTTGCATCTTTGCCGTGCTGATTGTTCTGTACCTTTGTCAGCATTTTGAGTCCAGCCTTGACAGCAATATTGATAATGTGCGGAAAGCATCTGTGACAAACAAAGCAGTCAGAGTTTAGAAAATACCCAAAGATGCAACTTTCTCACTGGACCCAGTTTCCAATGGGATCAAATGGTATCCCATCTTGTCTGAGGAGCCGCGCAAGCTCACACATCATGGTGTCATTGTTAGACGCATTGTCGAGCGTAATTTGACTGATTTACCATCAGTGTGAATAAATTAATCTTTGGTAGACAGTGAAGCTTCAAACTTTGTGCAGAATGCCATAATCCTTGAGTATACCATAGAATATTCCGGCAAGATTTACGCCGGTGTGATTCACAGGCACTGCTCAAAATGCGATCAGCTGAGAACATATCATGAGGTGTCCATTCTCGTCCTTTGCCATATAGTGTGCTGTAATTGCTATAAAGCCGAGGTGCTTGAGATTACTTCAAAGGTCAGATGTATACGAAATGCGGCCCTCGCTGACCTTAAAGGACTGTCAGCACAAAGTGCACAGTAAAACAAATCCAAGCACTGAAGTTTGTACCTTCAGCTCTTTGACAACCGCGCCAAAGTCCACTGCACAACGCTCCTTAATGAGGTCTGTGAGCATGGTGCGATGCGGGATGTCCATGTCCTCTAGGTGATTGCTTGCGTAGACGATGAGATCCCGGAACTCCGGACACTCGACAACATTGATGGACTGTGGTTTCAATGCAAGCGTAGTCAGCATAATTTCTGAGGAGAAGAAATGAGCAACTTACCTGATCATTAACCACCACAAAGCGAACAAGTTTGTTGCAAAATTCTGTCAGGCTGAAGGGTTTGCGAGCCTTTTCCGACAGCAAGGAATTGTTCGCAGGTACATCCCATCCTTTGAGCTTCTCCTTGGTCACCACTGACCAATAGTTCTGCGCGTGGTCCTTCTTCAGATGGCGACACACATTTCCAGTGATCCCATCACTGTTCTTCCATGCTCTCCACTTTGTCCTGGCTCAAGATAAATGTGACTACACAAAGAAGACAAATAAATAGTGGCCACTTACGGACAAAGGCGACACCTCACGTAAGAAGATGTTGGGCGACGCCTTGATGGCGTAGAGACTGGTGCAGGAGCCTCAACATCGGTGTCATTATATCTGACGCCATCGGTGAAATTGGCTGGTGCACCTTTCGTCTGCGCCGGTAGGACATGAAACCAGACATCGGATGCAAGTGTCGAGTTCTCCGACATGTTGCTGGCTGCTAGCAGCGAGCAAAAATCCACATTGGATTTTTGCGAAGCTGTCAGTGGTGTTGAGTCAGCGTTGCTGGGCTCAGTGGGAGGCAAGATGCAGGGGCCAACTCCTGGTACAAGAGGTCCCGGCACATCAGACGACGATGTGGCATTGGCTTGAGAGCGCTTTGATGACGGTGCTCTGCCCTCATTGCATCCGCGTTTCCACTTCGGTGCTTGTACTGGCTGCGAAGGCAACTGGGCTGGCACAGAGGCAGCCGGCCCAGGGTTCTGAGGCGTCAGTGCAGCTGAAACAGAAGGAGAAGGCTGACTGTGAAGATGTGGGCCAGTAGATTGAAGCAACGGAAAGGCTGGTGAGCCATAGGGGTAGGTGTATAGATGCGGATAGGCTGGGTAGTGCCAATAGGAAGTCACGGATGGATGGGAGCAACTAGTGGAGTCTTCTCAATGTTGGGACTGGCTCATAGCATGAATTTGAGGCTGAGAAAGAGAACCGGTGGGCTTGTTTGACACAGCTGCACCTGATGTATTATACCTGAGTGTCAGAGAGAAAAAATGCGCAGAGTGTGCTATGTACTTCACACTCGGGAGCCAGATTATTGACCTGTGAAGTGTGGCTTGAGTCACTTGTTGTTTCAAGTTGAAAGAAACACACTGGCTGCCCTGGTCCCTGGGCAATAGCTCGTGCAGTAATTGGGTCTTGTGTGATTTTTCAAATAAATATATTGATCTATCATGTTACTCTAGCAACAACCTCAGGAGATGACAGAAGTGAAAGGGGCAAACACAGCTACAGGCAATAAATCGAAACACGAGGAACACTAACCATGGACGCGACGCGTTCTCGTGCAGTCTTGCGTGACCGCGTCGAACTAGAATTGATGGATGGCGTCTGAGTCGGCATTCTCCGAGTGGAAGTTATCCGGCTTGAATCCGCGCCCATCCGGATTGAACGGATTGGCGACCCATCAGGCCGGATCGGATTCTATCCGGATAGAATCCGAATCCGCGGCAACACTAGTCTCACCGGAGCTGACGTTCGAGCAGTTTGTGGCAGCATACCGGGCAAGTGGCTATCTTAGCATGTCGACGACACTGCGCGACAGGGACCTCGCCGTGTATCGTTGGGGGCAGTCCTTGCGCCTGATGTGGGCTTGGGAGGGTGAGATAGTCGGCCGGAATCGGTGGCAGGAACTG